AAAAACACCAAACTGTGCACTTTTAGCTCCTGAAGCAACAAGATGAAAGGCAAGCTATCTCGTCCATATCCAAATTGTTTCCAATTGTTCACTTGAATTTATTACAGTTCACTTCTTTCTGAGTGAGAAACATCATGCAATCACTGCTAAGGTATTAGTTCATGTGAAAACGAGAGCTTTTTTAAATAAAATGAAGCAACAACAACTGATTTGTAGCGTTTGCTGGTTTCTGTGGTGTGAATATTCCGAGCACGACTGATTTTAAGCCATAAGCAGTTAAACTACTAGCTCACAAAATTCCTGCCTATTTAACAACTGATGCCTGCCTAGGCCTGTATGAGCTGGCTTCAGCGTAACCCTGAGTGGGGCGTTGACCCCAGACGTCCATTATCTCTGTTCACTGCACCCACCCAGATAAGGGCTCCCCAGTGTACATGGTAATTCCAGAGCCAAGGCAGTCTCAGCAGTGAGCATTTCTAATAAACTCCTTTCTGTGATATGAATATCACAGTAGATCCCAACACAAATAAGCTTTCTCCTTTATGCAATAGACTGGTTCCCTGTATTATTTTTTCACATTCTTAAAATTGATGTAAAGAACACATCTTCCACAAACTTCCACAATAAAGAACTGTTTTGCTTTTCTCAGCACCTTCTGTTTTGATGTTGCATGGAACATTCCATTTAATTAAAATTCGCTTTGCTTGACACTATACTGTGATGTGCAGCACACTCAGGCTAACGTGTAAAGATCATCTCCTCAGAGGGGTGCTAGTCATCTGGCACTGCCTGCTTGGACCTCCCAAGCTTTGGTTCCAGGAGAGGGGAATCCCACCAGTCCACCCAGATATTTAACCTAAAAGGTTGGTTTGTTTCAACTCTTGACTTATTGAGGAGAATTGAAAAATTTTATAAATATTTAGAAAGTCTTAGTCTTTGCATATGTGCTCCTCAAATATCCATTCAGGGTAGCATTTGTCAGTGATATTACCAGGAAGGTTTTGTGTTCCTACAAAATTCATCTCTGTTTTCCTCACTCGCTAGGTGGGTGTGTGTCTGTACTCTAGGGCATTTCTTTCATGGATCTTCTCCATCATTATGTCAAGTTGTGTGTATCTGGAGAGGGGTGGGGATTTTAACATCCTTTGAGTAAACCCAATTTTGAAATAGATTTCTCAAAACAAGGTCATCATAATAGTTCCTGGAGAGTGACATTAAATTCTCCCCAACTGACAGCAATTTTGGAGGTAATACTCTTTAATAGTTTCACTCTCAATTCCCTTTGAACCACACACCTTCAATATATAAAGTGTTTGTGTGGGAGAAATATTGAAGTAATAATGATAATAAAGCCACCTCTTACCCCTCAACCCAATTCTGGATTTCAGGAGAGAGATATAGCAGCTCATAAATTCAGAGCAGTGTGCCTTCCTAAAATAAGCCAATAAAATAAGGTGGGACACAGAAGATGGTTGGATCCCAATTTGGGGCTTGAGCATGGGAAGAAAATGGTTGCCTGGATAGAAGAGGGTTCTGAGTAGAAGAGACTGGAGGGCCTGGAGGGAGTGAACTTGAGTGTTCTGTCTTGAGTGCACCTGCTGCCTGCCTGTTGCCTGCAGGGGGTCCCTTCCAGGAGTTGCTTCCTGGGCATGGAGGGTTGGGACCCAGTCAGAGCTGGACAGCACCTGGTCCCATGCACTGACAAGTTTGCCTGGTGTGGAACATGAGGTGTTCACATCACACAGCATAGGGTCCTTGGTACACACATATACACACAGTCCAAAAATTGGGAGCACAAATCTATCATCCTAAATCCAAATCCCTGAACCCATCAAATGAGAGAGATTCTTTAGTTATTTTGATAAAAGACATAACTAATGACAATCTCGAAATAGTGATAAGGAAATAAAAGCATAAGTGGAAGTCTGAAAAGGCCAGATATAAGAAGAATAAAATAAGAATGCATAACTTTTGTGGGTAGCAGAGAAAGTTTGATCTATTCAAAGAACATTAGAAAGGAGGCGGAAAAGAGAAAGTATAGCAAACTGAATGTACGAAATAAGATGAGAGAAACAAACCTCAATATAATGAATATAACGCAAGGAATATTATGCCATCGGCGTGCATTCTTGGGCCAGCACAGCCATTTGGATGAAGTGTGGGTGGAGCTTGAATGTGTCACTATGTGTGCACAGGGAGCCAGGGTGGGAAGGGTCGTTGGTCAGGGTGCTCCCTCCCAATGGCACATTCTATCACAGAGATTCCAGGGTCCCCAGAATTTGATACATTCTGGGCCTTCCACATCATTTGGAAGATATATTTGTTAAGAGAGGGAGCGATAACTTTTTTTTTATTTAACAGTTTATTCATTTGATTTATCAATTTTAAATATTTATACCAGGGTGTGCAAGCCTCTCTGTGCACATTGGGGGGACCCTGGAGGTGAGGAAGGGCTGAGCAGTGGGCAGATTCTGGACATACCTCAGAAGCAGAGCCAGCAGGCCCTGCTGATGGGTTGACACGGGGTGTGAAAGAGCGAGCGCAGTCCACACACCAAGCAATGTAGAGAGTTGCTGTGATGGAGTGGGTTTGGGGAGGGTTGTTCAGGATCTCGGTTTTAGAAATACTGATCGTTAGACTTCCAAATGGAATTGGTTAGAAATGCAGATTCTGAAAAAAGAAAAAAAAAAAAGAAAAGAAAAAAAGAAAAGAAATGCAGATTCTGGGGGCTGCTCAGGGCATAATCCCGGAGTCCTGGGATCAAGTCCCACATCAGGTTCCTTTCTTCTTCCTCTGCCTGTGTCTCTGCCTCTCTCTGTCTCCGTCTCTCATGAATAAATGAATAAACTCTTTTTTAAAAAAAGGAAATGTGGGTTCCCAGGTCCCGCTTCACAACTACTGAATCAGAAACTCCAAGGGACCCCATGATCTGTTTCTCAAATCTTGCAGGTAATTCTGTTAGACGATGGAGTTTGAAAACCATCAAATAACATAAAACAATAAAATTTTAATGAAAGGGAAGTTACCAAAATTACTTTTCTTCCTTCATGTTAAATAGGTTCTTGTTCCAGTTGTTAATGGTCTTTGGTGGAACACCAGGGATAGATGTGAAAACTCCATGAGATAAGATCACTGGTTAACACACGTTTTCAGAACTTATGGGTGAACTCTAAAATTGCAGCGATTGTGAGGAGCAAACCCATTCACATTACTGCCATTTCTGTATTTTAGAACAAAGATATTCTTAGGAACACAAATAAAATTGCACCACTCTCTGACGTTAGATTATCATGCCAATGGTTCCAATTAGTGCTGTTACTGTTGAATGTTCTACCTACGGGGACAGATGGCTTGGAGTGTGAGGGGTTTCCTCAGAGGAGATGTAGGAACCCTGCCTGCCACGTTCACCAGGAACAGACTGCCATTGTGACTATGACCGGGATACACACGTGGTAAAAGGTTGTTGCACTTCCTTACACATGCCTAGTGGGTATGTCCAAGTTGGGGGAAATGTTTCTTTCTTCCTAAGAAAATGAGTTCTTATCCATCTTAAATATTTTCTTACCCATTCAAAGTGTGGCTACCAAAACAACAGAATGAATCATTGGAGAAATGTTCCTAGCAGACAGGAAAATGCCTATAATTCTTGTTGATCAGAGTTCTTTTTCAGAGGAAGTCCCAGAATACATGTTAGTTTAAAGAGTATTCCTAAGGTCTTCAAAAAGGCTGCTAATAACATAAAATACATAAACAAAGTCAAGTTAATATCATTTGTTTCAGTACCTCTTACTCTTTGGTTCATTTGTTTCTTTTGTTTTGTTTTGTTTTGTTTTTGGTTCGTTTGTTTTTAATACCTTTTCGCTGATATCCTTATGCTAATATGTTTTGCTGTTTATCATTGTTATTATGATTGATATCAGTTTGTTTAGGATTTCTCAGTTTTTCCTCTTTCCGCACACACACAGATTGTGCCGTCTACCATAAATATACAGAATAATTAGAAATCACATTTTCTATATACAGAGATTTATGGAAATGTAATGAGAGTTAAAACCAGAAAGCATTTCTTTTTGCTGAAAAAAAAGTGGTTCCCATCCGATAAAGTCGTTACACAGTTACTGATTTTCTTTCATATAAAATGTGTGTGTTTAATTCCATTCTAGTGTTTTCCTGTGTTTCCTTTCTGTATAGCTTCTCTACTATTTGCAGATATGGTTTCCTACAGATTTTGACTTTTGGTTTTGTGGGAATAAGATTCTTAACCACGTACACAAAGACGACTTTCAGTAGTATTTTCTGACACCAAGCAGTTCTACACATGAATATGGATCGATAATTCTACTGTGAGAAACTGAAGTGCCTGTCATCTCCACTTCACCCAAAACTCATTTCCTGCGAGGCAAAACTCTTGAAATAGTTCAAGCAAAATAATTCTAAGAATATAACAAATTATGTGCTGATCTCATAAGGGGAGCATTAAGTTCTTGGTTTGCCAAGAGTTCATTTCCAAGCAACCCTGATACGCCACTTGCCAAGAGAAATTGCCATTTAATGTTTCAGTTAGGAAGAGATTTATTTTCAAAAATATTTCCAGATGTCCAGATGCACCTTCACTTTGAAAAGCCACATTTCAAAAAGTAGATGACCTTGACTTGCAGCTACTCCCATCACGTTATACGTTGCTGTTCAATATGCTGAAAGGAAGATGCCTATTTATTTTGCCTCACTGCTTTCTTAGCTCAGGAAATCCTCACTGTAAATGCACCACGAGCTGAGCTGGCGGTGAAAGAGGCTCGCAGGAGCTGTGTGGGGAAGCTTGTGCCACATCTGCTTCTAGTCTTTCGAACTCCAGGGAGGATTGCCATACGTCTGCTCCTCGTGAGAACTTCAGCTCTTGCTGCCTCCCATTACCAAAGAGAGGAGGGAGCAGAAATCCTGGGTGACCTCTATCATTCCATACAATTCTCTCTGTAAACATGTTTCTGGGGATGTAGACTGCAGTCAGAGTGGTGTACCTTTACTGCCTGTCCTGACCGAGTAAGAGCATGTATACACCCCACCAGCTGGAGTCTTAAATCTTGGCTTGACTGTAAGTAGTGTGTTTGTCAACTGTCTACTTGTTCCATGTAAGTAGGAAAAAGCCATTTTCTGTGCAGGATTAGAAAATTATATTTAGTTTACTTACACCGAACACAAAGAAAGTTCTACTCTCCCTTCAAATTAGAGATGGATTGAACCTACTGCTTGGAGCTACTTCAAACAGTTTAACATTAGACGTAGATTTCTAGAAAAAAAAAAATGTGTACCTATGAAAAAAATAAATGAAACGATCCTTCTCTGCAGAAAGGCAGGTAGCAATGGATATGGACTGAACTGATTATTGTAATAAAATTCTAATTTACCGGCATAAAGTGCGCACTGCTTCTGGAGTTATAAGCCAATAAGAGCAATTCCCTAAGGAGGATGGTGTCCTGACACGCCTGCCTCCCAACATCACAGGAGTTCTCCCTGTAGGCGTTGGTATTCCGTGTATGCCCAGGGCCTTCTTCAGATTGTGGACTCTAAGAAGCTTCCATTTCCATGCTTGTCTGAGCTAAGAACCCTTCTGGAAGCTTGCCATGATGCTTAACACTATGGCCTTCAGACTGGCTGGACGTGGACTCAAACCAGTTCTACTGTTCGCTGGCCGGGCAAGCTCGGGTAGGTAACTTGAAGTCAGCTCATCTATAACCTGGAGATCCTGACTTCTCACCATCCTGTGGGCAGTGGGGCACCGAAGTAGGCTGCTCAAGGTATTTGGTGCAGAATAAGTGCTCAATATATAACCTTTTGTTATTATAATTAAAACTGCAATTATTTCTATCGTTACTATCACCAGCTTTACGTTATCTTAATTATCTGCTGTGGGATTCTAGAGCAGGGTTCCTTGAATGAGAATGACTTACCGAAAAAAGCAAAGCCAGTATTCTTGTCTCAAATTTTACCTTTATTCAGTCATTTTTGAAATGTCGTCTCCACCTTAATTACCCTAAGAAAATACTTTCTCTGTGTTATTTATGGATCATTTTCATCAGAGAGCTTCCTCCCGAGAGATTTTTTTCTGTTTTCATGGAGCAAGAGGAAGTTGGAGACGTTGGGATGCCTGCTGAGCGCTGACTTCAGGAGGCAGCTGGACTGTGTGCCTTGCTCTGCTTTTGTCCCTGTGTCCGTGGCTCTAAATCTCACCTATTCCAGTGCATGTCTAAACCGCAGAATATTAGATATGAAGTTGGAAAGCTCACACACTGAACCTCTGTGGCCAGGGAATGTGTAATCGTGCTTTTAGGAAGTAAAACGGTCTTGAACAATGGAGTGTCCTCTTTCAGCTCCGATGCCAAGCAGGAAGCAACCCTTCCTGCCAAAGAGACTTAAAGCATCCAACTCCCTTTTCCTATCTGCCTTCGGTTTGGCCCTTATGCTCCTGTTTTGTATTTACTTCATGGATATTACATTTTCCTGACTCTTTCTGAGAACTCCAAGCAGATATGTTCTAGAATTTGCTGCTTCTTCCTCAAAGATGGGTTTTCCCAGATCAGATCACTGTTTGTAACCCATCTCTTTCTCTTGGTTTTCTGTCTTTCTGATGGGTCCAGGCTGGCTAATTTCTGTTACAGATTTTGAACTGAGAGAGCTCCGTCAGGCACGGTCTCGGTAGGGTGACCATTTGTCCTGTAGTGTACAGACTACACCACTTGTTCCCACATAATTAATAAGAGTACCCCCGTTCACTTGCAAAGGCTCCAAGTGTAAAAAATAAGCTGTATAGTCACCCTGAGTCTCTAGCCTTGACTCTCAGATAGGATGGGCATAAAGTCTTCAGTTGTACTAGCGCTCAGAGACTTCCTTCTAACCACACCAGAAAGAATAGGTTGTTTTGCATCTCCCTGGATCCGTTTGTGTTTATCTGTTTGTTTCTTTCCCCAGCTGGAGTGTGCTGCAATGCAAAGGGATCTTTGCCAGCCCCCCATTCTTTTCCAAGTCCCTAACTCTGCTACTTATTTCAAAGCAGCCTGCAGTTCTTTGACAGGCGTTGGAAGTGAAAGCCTGCCTTGCCCAGCACACAGTGTTTCCTGGTCCTATCCACAAGTACAGTTCCGAGCTATGCATTCTTGGGTAGGGATAGACCCCACCCCACTCTCTGCCAGCCCATCTACTTGAATACTGGCAATTATATTCCCAATGGAGCGGCATGAATAGAAAAAGTCGCAGTTATAGCCAACTCTCAGGACTGCTCTGAGGAGTAGGGGATGCCTGCTTAGTTTTCTGTTCGGTGGATATTTTAACCTGCAGGGAAACACTAACATTTTTCCCTATCAGCTTTGCCACCCTCCACATTGCACTAATTCAGAGAGTCCAGTGTATAACTCCCAAAATATATTTTTCTATATACCCCCATTGATGATTCAGTTATTAATTTTTTCTCCTAATCTTGGCATATGATAGTCTCCAATTTCTAGTTGCTAATTCTAAGTGTGTTAGTAATTTTCCTCTTGTATATGTTCATGTCCTATATCTTTTTGTGGGACTTTAGTAGATCATTTAGGCAACAATAATAAATTGACACCAAGATAACCTCAAACTCCCAATTCAATTAATCAGCTGGTTGATGTACATCCTTCAGCATTTCATTTGAGATTTTTTTATCCTGCATTTAGATGTAAGGCTGTTCTATGATTTTTTTTCAATCAATGCTGTTTACATAGTAAAATAAAAACTGATGATGGCTTGAGCAAAAGGAGAATTTGTAGAAAAGATACTGGAATATCTTGTAGAACCCATGGAAGAGCTTGGTGACCAAAACTTGAAGAAAGGGATCCAGGGAAGCTCTAAGTAAGGTCTTTGGAATCAGGGGTTCAAAGCCTTCTTTCTAGAGTGCTTCCATTAACGGGGCTGACAGTGTCCACTGTGTTCACTGATAAGTGTCTAGAGTCTCAGCCCAAAACTACATATTCCCACACAATCAGTGACTGGACCAGTTGACGTTAAATATCTACTGACTGTGGCATGAGAGTAGGGTCATTTAACATAGATGTGACTATTGGCAGCAGCTACAGTGCAATGGGACAGTTTTCAGAGAAGGGAGAATTGGAATGGGGCAGCCACCCTAAGTGGTGTCAATTCCAGTATTCTATGTGTGCTACTCAGTTACATTTTTGGTAACAGAACTATTTTTGAAATAAGAAACATTCAGTATTTCCCTTGGCTGTCTCCCACATACATGCATCCAGGCCATCTGTGCTCTTTGCCTAAGGAAAGGCGTATGATAGCTAAAAAGAGAAAAAAAATTATTTTAGGAGGAAAGTTCTTATGAGATAGCAAGGAAATTATTAGCAGCAAGCCTTCTCCACCAACATTATAAAAATGACTCCCTGCATTAGGGGAAGGTATCGTGTTGGAAGGGAAACTATGAGGATGAAAATACCAGGAGATCTCAGAAACAGTGTCTCCCATCCACATCTGACCAGAAGGGCTAGTAGGAATACCTGAAAGCGGTGTGGCCCAGGGACACTCCAGTCAAGAAACAGGCAAAGAGAGTTGATTGACTCCAGACCAAAGCCAGTACTGTGTATGAAGAGTTCCCTTTCTACATACAGGCAAGGAGATTCATTCACAGCCAAGGCTGAGGGTTCCCAGCCCCTCCCAACTGGAGAGCCTATTTGGGAAATTAAGAGTAGCCTGAAGTGACACCTACCCTTCCTGACCAGGCAAGGAAGCCACTGTGGCTCCTGGCTCCATCTGACCAGAAGAAGTAGCCAGAACGCCAAGAATCTGTTCTGCCCAATAGTGTTCCAGACAAGAGAAAGGCAGACAGAGCCAACAATTTGCAAAGCCAAGCCAGTGGACCTATTTGTCCAGGGAACTTGGGGTGCAGGTTGGCTTTCGTTAAGATAACAGAGAGTTTTACCAGCTTTAGAGCTGCTGCTTCCTCTGTGTCTGGTCAAGGAAACTAATTTACAAGCCCACTCATTGCCGAATTTAGCTTTCAGACTGCCTGAGCAGGGAACATACCCAGAGCACATGACAAGTTGTGCAGCTCATCCAATAGCCCTGCTTACAGTGGCACTTGAACAAAGCCCATGGTTTGCCCATCTGCAGAGCAAAACTGGTGGCTTCACCTGACCAGAGAACTCAGTGTACCCTCTTACCTGATTCAGATTCCAAAACAGTCCATACAGACTCTGAATCTCATTCTACTGCCCTGCCAGTGTAGGGAAGCTAATTCACAGCCCTGTCTACCCAGTCTTGACCATCCAGTAGGCCTGACCAGAGAATTCAGGCTGCCATAGAGCCCATCGTACAGTCTTACATGGTCAAGGACCCCAAGTCAGCCATCCTATCCAGCTATTCTCAGCAAGTGCCACCCCCTGCCATGCCTGACCTCAGAGCTTAAACAGTTGCCTTGCCCAGAAATAGAACATAGTACAGGCGCTCTTGCTCAGTCAATGACAGCAGACATGCCCAGAAACCCAAAAGGAGTTGACTGGTGAAGACTTGTCTCTGTCAAAGAAAGCCATTAAAGTCTAAAAGGAGAACCCAATTACTCAAATGCATAGATGCCAATGGATGGAATCAAGGATCACACACACACACACACACACACACACACACACACACCATATAAAGATGACACAGCCAAAGGAAACTAATAAATAAAACGATGTCAAAGAAATAAAAATAAAAATCTATGTATCAGACAAGGAATTCAGAATAATAATAATAATACAATTTAGTGAACTATGAGAACACACAGACAACTAAATTAAATTAGGTAAATGATGCATGAATAAAATGAAAAGTACAAAAGAGCAATAGAAGCCATAAAAAAAAACCCAGATACCTACATTAAAAAAAAATACAATAACTGAACTAAAGAATTCAACAAAGAGTTACAAAAGCAGATTCAACCATGCAGAAGGAAGTATCAGTAAACTAGAGTACAAGATATTAGAAATTGTCTAGAGAATCATAAAGGAAAAGAATAAAAGAGTAAAGAATGCCTATTTTCTTAGGACACACTGAAAAGAAACAATATTTGCATTATAAGAATTC